CACTCAACGATTACAAACCTTGAATTTTATATAGAAGCATTTAGTTTTAGTTTTAAAATTGTCTTGAATGAAATTCTACATATAGGCTTGTAGGCCTCTTGTTTTATATTATAATAATAATTCAACTTTAACAGAAGAATTTCTATAATCTTGCCATCAAACTTTCAGTGTGGTTTTAACCCATCACTTGCTGCAAGCCTCCACAATAGCCAAAATGAATGACATCAGCAGGCAATGTTAAAATAAGAGGATCGTAATAAAGTCATAAACTTACAAATGTTGACAATCATAGATGTTAGAATGACCATCTTGTTCAGTCCTTGAATCCAGTAATGATACATCAAGACGGTGTGCATTTGGTCCACCATCAAAATACTGGATAATCATCACGTATTTTCCAGGTCTGGGTACGGGTAAAGACAGTCCAAGTGTTGGCTGACAAGATAATATATAAATACAAAGATTAAATAGTTACAAATGTAACAAACAAGAATTTTGATGACAAATATCAAGTACAGAGACAAAGTCCTATAATAAGTTTCTCTTCATTTGGGCAAGGAAATTATATTAAGCTGAAATTATAGTTTTATTAAGATTATGAACTAGTTCACAGGAGTGGAAAAGAGTGTAAAAATTGAAGAAATTTGAACACTGGAAGACAGTATATGATCACTAGAGGGCAGTATATGATCACTAGAGGGCAGTATATGATCACTAGAGGGCAGTATATGACCACTAGAGGGCAGTATATGATCACTAGAGGGCAGTATATGATCACTAGAGGACAGTATATGACCACTAGAGGGCAGTATATGACCACTAGAGGGCAGTATATGAACACTAGAGGGCAGTATATGATCACTAGAGGGCAGCAACAGATTATATGAGTGGACTAGTTCACAGCAGTGAATGAACAAGGTAAAGGTTGGGGACTTTGAGGGCGTTACATGGTCATGAAAATTGATTAATCATTATGCAAATTCGATAATTAATATTGCAGATTTTTACCCAAAACTAATCAAATCTGCGCATTAGTTTGGAGCATCTATGTGCCAAGTTTCATCAAAATCCAATGATTGGAAATTTAGATATCAGTGGAACAGTCATGGAACAGCTAAAAATGAGCTAATTATCATGCAAATTAAGTAATTAATATGCATGGATTTTTACCAAAACCTAATCAAATCTGCACATTGGCCCAGACCATCTATGCACCAAATTTCACCAAAAATCAATATATGGTTCTTGAGATATCAGTGGAACACACACGCACGCACACACACGCGCACGCGCACGTGCACACACGCACGCACACGCACACGCACACACACGCACACACACACACACACACACACACACACACACACACACACACACACACACACACACACACACACACACACACACACACACACACACACACACACACACACACACACACACACACACACACACACAGAGACACACAGACACAGTAACTGCTAAGACTCCCTTTTTGTGCTTCGCACACGGGAGTCAACTAGAAGGCATTATGTGAACACTGGAAGGCATTGTATGAACACTAGAAGGTGTTATATGAACACTAGAAGGTGTTATATGAACAGTAGAAGGCATTATATGAACACTGGAAGGCATTGTATGAACACTAGAAGGTGTTATATGAACACTAGAAGGTGTTTTATGAACACTAGAAGGCATTATATGAACACTGGAAGGCATTGTATGAACACTAGAAGGTGTTATATGAACACTAGAAGGTGTTATATGAACACTAGAAGGCATTATATATAAATACTATATGGTGTATACTCAATGTTTTTTTTACATACCTGCTGTTCATCAAGTTGTGCCATCGCATCAACATTCAAATCTTGCAAAATGGACCGATCTCTGAATGTTTGGGTTGGATATCGTTGACCACTGTCTTGATAGTAACCATGTTCGGCCTCTATAGTTGGATATGTTGCAACACTTGGGAACGCATATTCATTACATCTACAAATAAATTCAGATTAAAATTCATTCACAACCTTTCTATATGACCAAAAAAATCTGCATGTTCTATTTCTGATATGTGCGATGAAAACAATAGAAATCTTTTAATGTGATGTCAATATTCTGAATGTGTTCAACGTTTTTGGTGTAGTTTACACAAAACAACACAAATATTGAACGTTAGAACAAATGCAAATATTCTTTGACTACTGCTTTCAGAGCTAGATGTATAACATCATAATATTGAGACCTTGTCCTATTCAATCCCATGTAAAAGACTAACACTGTTTGTCCAGCAGATTATGATAGATGTCAAAAAACCTTAATCGTCACAGGATTGAAACATATTGAACCCAAATTTTTCAAAAATTACATATGGGGTCAATCTTCAAAAATCATTGAGAGTGGCTGGAAGAGTTTGATCAATGCAATTTTTTTTCCATGTTGTCTTATTTGTAAATTTTTTATATTGCCAACATCTTTGCTCTGCAACACTTTGCACGCAATTTTTTTCTCTTTGTTCTCCTGTCAACCATCACGACTTCAAATGATCAAGCCCTATTCAAAATACACTCCTGTCTGGTACTTTTGAAAGCATTAATGTTTCTAAACTGAATTTTGGCCAAACATTTTTCCTATTTTTAGGTATGTTTTGGTAATTTTGTTGATAATGTTGGATCAAATGGACATAATTTACTACAGGCTACATATCTTGATTTGTGATGGAGACATTGGTGCTCAAATGGTTATTAACCTTTTCAGCACCAGTGCCATCTTTTCAGCACAAATTCACAAAACAGTCCTGTTTACAGCCTGCATTCACAAGATTGGGACAAAAATAGCCAATTTGAAATTTTTTTAAAGTAAAAATTCGACTTAAATTTTGTCTGTTGGCTCCAAAATTAGGATACATTACTAGATATATTGAACAATATAAGAAAAAAGTGCAGACAAAATTTGGGCGAGAAAGTCTTGTGAGTTGGTGAAAATAGCAAAATTTTGTGGCTGTAAAAATTTCTCTGGAGTCATAGTGAATATCAGCGACTTGTGCGAAAATTTGTCTTCACGAAGACCCTTAAAAAAAAAATCAGGAAATCAGGAAAATTCTTTTGCAGTGAAAAGTAAGTATGGTAAGGTGTACTTACGCTTCTTGGTAGCTGCCAGCTTTACAAGCATCATTCACTGTTACTTGTAGCAATGGCGCTTCATAGTAAGCGGAAGGTAACAACACCAAATAATCCTTGAGAAAAAATATTAATAATGATTTATTAGCAAAATCAAGCAACTGAAATTCTAAACTACGGTAGTAAGTGTTATTTGCGATAACAAAATTGATGCGAGGGCATCATATTTTTGATGGTGGTTACAAGTTGTCATTCAACAGTAGTAATTACAATGGAATGTCAAATGAACAAATCTGACAGAGGTTCACCCACGGCACTTACATACCAAGTATCAAAGCAATTGAGTTGGTAGTTTTCAAGAGAACAAGAGAAGTCAAGAATAGCATTTTTTTACCAAAAATGACAAAAATATTCATCCAAAATAGAGAATTGAAGAAATCGTAATGTAATGAACAAATCTGACAGAAGTCTACCCAAGGTACATATAGACCAAGTATTAAAGCAGTTGAGCTGGTAGTTTTTAAGAAGAGTCAAAAATATAATTTTTTTAACAAAAATGACAAATATTCATTAAAATTAGAGAATTTAAGACATTGTCATAAAATCAACAAATCTAACAGATATCCACCCAAGATGCTTTAAATAAAAAAAGAATGGAGCAATTAAGTTAGCAATTTTCAAAAACAAGTTAAAAATAGCATTTTTTACCAAAAATTGAAGAATTAATAAAAGGTTATCGTTCCAAAATAAATATAAATGTTTCCCCTAAAAACTTACCAATAGTATATTTTCTGGTGACTTTACAGAGATTATCCATTGTCCGGGATCCATAACAAACGGCATTATAACACCATTACCAGACACTGTCACCAGCTGTGGACTTGTACCAGGATTAAACACAACACTACTAGTCTGTTCAATGGCTGCATAAAAAATAATAAAATGCATTGTTATTCATCTAGCAGCAAAAACAATAGAATTTATTGTTCAGTAAAAGCTGTATCTGCATTCATTCCAAAATGTATTTAGGATAGACTATGTCACCAACTTTAACATGTTCAAGATTATTGATGCAATATTTGACCACTTATTTTTGTTTACATCTGACTCTGATTTTTGTTTACATCTGAACAAATAAGCTCATGATGGAAATACATTCCCAACACTGAACACAAATGTTTTTTGTTGTCATTTTGGGCTATTGAATCTGATTAAATTAAATATGAAAAAAAGATGTATTATAATAATAAGGTCATCACAAGGATACTGCAAAGTATGCACTCAGGCAGTGCAGGACTGCATTGATCTTCACTAAAAAGTACACTGTACTGCCTTTGTTCTTATATTGCGATATTTTTGTGATAACCTCATATAATCATATAAATTGATATTGATATTTTTTCATCTTTATATAGTTTTAAATCGGTACTGTATAATTATTTTTAATTTTATTTTGTTACATTTATACATTTTGATGTATATCTGCTTATTCTTGTATTTGTATTTGTATGTGTTTTCTTTATGTATTGTTTGATTTTCCAGTTCTGTTAATGGGTTTGCCCATTGAACTGTGTAATGAATGAATGAATAAATAAATAAATAAATAAATAAATAAATAAATAAATAAATAAATAAATAAATAAATAAATAAATAAATAAATAAATAAATAAATAAATAAATAAATAAATAAATAAAAATAAATAAAAATAAATAAATAAATAAAAATAAATAAATCTGTAATAACATATAATTTACCAAGTAGGACAAAATAATTTAAACGCCCAATGGAATTTGTTGTTACACAATCTCACCTAATTCAGACTGCGTTCTTGGAGTGACTGTAACCTCTCCATTCACTGGTTCGTTGTTTTGACTTACATATCGGAATACAAGTCGATACAAACTTGGGTTTCTGATTTCAACTGGTATAAGCACTTCAGGCTGAGACAGGAATAAAAACATTTAAATTTGAATTAACAAGTATATAATGATGAATACAGATGAAGTAACAAATAACCTAATCTGATTGAAATAAAATCTTACTTTTTCGACAAGTGGGCTTTCGTGATTACCAAAATTGTCTACCAGCGAATAAATTTGAATAAAATAAAATATATATTAAATTATATTTGAATAAAAAAGGAAAGAAAAATATTTTTAATCAGAGTGCATCTAACCAGGACTATGGGATGTATGGTGTAATGAGCCATTAAAAATATCATAACCCTCTCTTTTCTTGCACGTTTAATAATATATGACAAATGCAATGTCAGCATTTATATGCTTGTTTTTCGCACAAGTCCATGTACAGATATTACAATGTACATCGTGTACTAAATGTCTTGGACTCACATCAGCAGCTGATGTTGTATATAATTGATATTAGCTTTCAGCAGAGAATGTGTTGTGTGAGTCTATGTTGGCAAAATGTAAAACAAAATGGCTGCCAGTTGGTCATCTTGGATTGGATCATTTGTTGATGAACTAGTAAATAATTGTCTGTGTACCATGCTCAAACCTACTCGGACAGTGTGAATTTGAGATATACATGTAGGCAGAATTGTACAAAAATAGCTGCCAGCTAAAAGTAAGATTTATTAAATACAAAATAGCAGTTAGACAGTTTTGAAAAAAATACATGGGTCTTACCAATATTCCAACTGCACAAATTAGAGAAAATTTAAATGCTCTACACATATATAATGTAAGTTTTTATGAAATTTTTAGCTCAAATATGGCCATATTGAATCTCATCAAAAATAAAAATTTGGAAAAAGATTTTTGCAATGTAAATCCAATTTTTAATGCCATACATGTGTACATAAATACAATTATTAAAAGTTACATTATAGAAATATAATATATAACACACATATGACTGGGAAGTAGAAGTTGATTTTGTTAAGTTAGTCAAGTCTACCTCCCTATCTTTATTTGTATAAACTCAGTACCAAATATCAGTGGATGAACTTCTGAGTAATTATGATGGACGAATGAATGGACTGAACCCAATTCATAAGCCCCTGTACTTTTCCCAGTCAGGGGCTAATGAGCTATGTCCTAGTGAAACATGTACTTCAACTTAGAGAAAATAAGGCCGAGGCAAGCTACATGCATGATCTTTTAAAACCTACCTGGACTGCTGACATGACAGCGTATCCTCTCCAAGAATATCCTGGAAAGTCAGATTCCCGGAATGCAAATCTCACAGGTTTATTTCTTGGAGCACGACCATCTTCTATTTCATATTTGATATGATACAGATTGTGGAAAAAATGAACATCCAGAGGTCTAAAAAATTAAAAAGTATATTAGGATATTGATACTCCAATGATATCTCACCTGGACGAAACAAATCTAATTCAAGACAAGTAGGTCTTAACACTATTAACAAAGGAAAACATTTGCAAACAAAGTAGTTACACTATCTGTGAAATTCACACTCTAGTTTTGTATTTTCTTCGACAGATCACAGAATAGGTGACTTTCTGTTCACTGCAAGATCTTGCGCATTTCATGAATGGTGCAGACAAAACATCTGACACAAAAATCGTATGATTCTTTTTGAATTTCTGTTTTTATAGCTCAAAGTCAATGCTGATGTTTGAGAGGGGAGTATAGTGTTGAGATAGCCTTACTTTATCAAAACTGACCATCATCAAATGTCTATAGCGAATTATTGAATACAGTATAAAAACATCCCCAAAATATTTGTGCTTCTGTCGAATTCGATGAAATGTTTAGACATCACTACAAAACTACATAGTTTGTCCTTTGCACGTTCAATTCCACGCATAATGCAGTGAACAAAAAATGGTCTATTTTGCATGAGTTTTAGAAAAAAAGGTACATGTACCTGTCACATGTTCTTCCAGACACTCTTGGCTTGCAGACACATTGACCCGTAGACTTATCACAGTTTTCATCTCTGGCACCTCCCAAATCACATCCACATGCTAAAAACAATAAAATTATAGAGAAATTTGTCAATACAAGGGGATTGAAATCATGAAGAGGAAGCTTCCCATTAATGAGTGTAATCACACCTAGCATATGATATTACTTTGATCAAGAACACAAATCAACACAGTATATATCTCCGATAATTCAATGGATTTGTAAGTGAATTTTTTTTTTGCCACTGTATGCATAGTCCAACCTTGTTAGAACGATCAAAATGACCTGTTTGTATATTCTAAAGAACGTGCTCCATTTTGAAAAAAAATGCACTTTACCCTTATCAATGGCACAGTCTGGGCAATTTATTTCTTTTTAAAGTTTAAGTTAAATAAAAATATCATGAAATGGAGGAGTTAACACAAAATCATCTGTAACCGTGACCCATCACCCATCACAATGGTTGTGCGTGCACCCCAAATTTTGTATTTTTGTATTATTATAATTTAACTGACAAAAAATCACCACAGCTGGGCCAGTCTACCTCATCTACAATGTAGTATGCTAATAGAACGATCTAAACTGTGCACATGGCAATGCAACAGTGCCACCAATTCTAAAGTGTTTTGCAAAGTTGCAAGCCATCGTGCTAAACTGACTGTCAGAGTAGTTTACAGAATAGCTGTAACAGTTATTGTTTAATAATATCTAGATCCTGGTTACCTTGACAACCAAATACATTTCTTGTTTGTAAATCAAATGCTCCATCTTCACACTGATCACAACGTCTACCATCAACATATTCTTTACAAGTACACTGACCAGAAACCTGAAATTCACAATATACAGCATATAATATAGTTTTACTGTCACTGCCAGGATTTGAAGTTTAGAGTTGTGAGGACACTCAATTCTCAAAGGCCAAAACTTATAAAACAATCTTAGTCTATAGGAATAACAGAGAAGGCATTCTCAGTGACCAGAAACCTGAAACTGACCAGAAACCTGAAATTCACAATAAAGTAGTAGTATTATGGGATGTATGGTGTAATGGCTAAGTAGTATCATGGGATTTATGGTGTAATGGCTAAGTAGTACTATGGGATGTATAGTGTAATGGCTAAGTAGTATTATGGGATGTATGGTGTAATGGCTAAGTAGTATTATGAGATGTATGGTGTAATGGCTAAATAGTATTATGGGATGTGTAGTGTAATGGCTAAGTAGTATTATGGGATGTATAGTGTAATGGCTAAGTAGTATTATGGGATGTATGGTGTAATGGCTAAGTAGTATTATGAGATGTATGGTGTAATGGCTAAATAGTATTATGGGATGTGTAGTGTAATGGCTAAGTAGTATTATGGGATGTATAATGTAATGGCTAAATAGTATTATGGAATGTATAGTGTAATGGCTAAGTAGTATTATGGGATGTATGGTGTATTGGCTAAATAATATTATGGGATGTATGATGTAATGGCTAAATAATATTATGGGATGTATAATGTAATGGCTAAATAGTATGGGATGTATAGTGTAATGGCTAAATAGTATTATGGGATGTATAGTGTAATGGCTAAGTAGTATTATGGGATGTATGGTGTAATGGCTAAATAGTATTATGGGATGTATAATGTAATGGCTAAATAGTATTATGGGATGTATATTGTAATGGCTAAATAGTATTATGGGATGTATAGTGTAATGGCTAAGTAGTATTATGGGATGTATGGTGTAATGGCTAAATAGTATTATGGGATGTATAATGTAATGGCTAAATAGTATTATGGTATGTATAGTGTAATGGCTAAGTAGTATTATGGGATGTATGGTGTAATGACTAGATAGTATTATGGAATGTGTGGTGTAATATCTAGGTAGTATTATGGGATGTGTGGTGTAATGGCTAGGTAGTATTATGGGATGTGTGGTGTAATGGCTAGATAGTATTATGGGATGTATGGTGTAATGACTAGATAATATTATGGGATATATGGTGTAATGGCTAGGTAGTATTATGGGATATGTGGTGTAATGACTAGATGCTATTATGGGATGTATGGTGTAATGGCTAGATAGTATTATTGGATATATAGTGTAATGACTAGATGGTATTATGGGATGTATGGTGTAATGCTAAATGATATTATGGGATATATGGTGTAATGTTTGGATATAGTATAATGGGATGTATGGTGTAATGCTAAATGATATTATGGGATATATGGTGTAATGTTTGGATATAGTATAATGGGATGTATGGTGTAATGCTAAATGATATTATGGGATATATGGTGTAATGTTTGGATATAGTATAATGGGATGTATGATGGCTAGATAGTAACTTACCACATCACAGACTGCTATTCCAGACACAGTTCCCGGTTTATAACAATGACATTCTTCACATCCAACCGGATTACTGAACTGCAGATTCCAATACAGTGGATCACATAGGTTGCAGGTTCTTCCACCCACTTTCTCTTTACACTGACATAACCCCTATACAGTGGAGAAAACAAATAACATACATTAATTATTATTATACTATTTTGTATAGTAGTTGGTTTTGATCCATCAGATTGTATACCATCATATCGTATCATATCATATCGTATCCCATCATATCATATCGTTTCGTTTCGTTTCGTTTCTAATCGTTTACCACTGTATTGCATCATATTGTATTGTATCGTATCGTCTCATATTGTATTGTATTCCATCGTATCGTATAGTATCGTATACCATTGTATCGTTTCGTATTGTATCGTATCGTATCATATCGTATCGTATACCATCGTATCGTATTCTATGGTATCGTATCATACAATGTATACCATCACATAGTTTCATATCCTATCGTATTGTATCATATCGTATCGCATCGTATCGTATCGTATCGTATTTACCTGTGTAGCTGCCCCACATCCTGCTAACGGTTCACCAGGCACAAACACAACTCCAGCTGGATCACATTTACATTCTGGATACACAGATTTAAAAGCAATGCATAAATACACTAGACAGAACACATAAATGATATTTCTATTCAATTTAGTCTAGACAATAAATAATTCACTGTTCATCTCTGTACATTGTGTTAAAGGAGCTGACTGAATGTCTGTCATAAAAATCTAAGAATTTGATTTTGAACTTCAGTTCATAGCTCAATATCAAAAATCAGATCTTTCAGAAGAAAGTATGATGGCATTGAGATTGTCTTACTTCATCAAAATTGGTATTAACACAGCTATGACCTTTGTTTGTCTTGTTTTTACATTCAATTTTATTTTTTTTATGTTCAAGTTTTACTTTGTTTCGAAATTGTTTTGATAACCAACAAACTTCTGTCTGCTGTCTAGACATGCAGCAAGCACTATAAACAAAGTCTGTCGCTGAGCAACAATAATGTATTAATTAGTCTCTGTGAGTTCTCAAATTTAAGAAATATATAAAGTTTGAACATGTCAGAGAATGTCACAGATATGGCTCCAAACTTCATTCTTTAAAAAAAATGGACAGCAGTTGGCCATTTTGAGACCAACTGAAATATGGCCCCAAACATAAAAACATAAGAAAATCATAGAATTTCTCATTAAAAAGAAATAACAAAATTAAGAAGTAAAAAAAAATATTTATAGGTTTCTAGCATGGGATTTGAACACACAATCTTCCACTTGCAGGTCTTAATCACTACAATTTGAAGTTCCCCATTAGAAAATTGAATATTTTTGCTAGACAATGCTTATTTACACAGTTTTCCATAAATTTGAAGTTTTATAATTGTCAAATGATATAAAGTTTCTCATATACAAAGCACATGTCGCTGGCAACAGCAAAATGTACCTAGTTGGAGGTTAGGAAGTGAGTAGTGCAAGGTATGGGGTCATCAACAGTGATCCCATGTGGCATATCTTACCTTCACAGGCTGGAAAATTATAAAACCCTTCTGCACACTCACTGCATGTGACTCCTTGGAAATTACTTCTACAATTACACTGTCCAGTTATCTGATCACAGCTTATGCTGAATGAACCGGTACGATGACAGTTACAAGCTGAGAAATACAAAAATACATGAATGCATGTAGTTTACTCAGATGAAATACATCAATACAATAAATTAATTAATTAAAATAAGTCGTTAATTTCATTAAAACAGCATTTTCTATTAGAGACAAAAATAGCCAGTAAACTGATTCTATTTCTGAAGATTTCACTTTTTCTGTTTTATTATTTATTTATCTTTTTCCCTCTCAAATAGAAATGTTTCTGTTTAATTCAGCTGTAATAAATCTTATCTCATCACATGATCAAAAGCATTCGTGCTGATTGGCTACCCAACCCTAGCACCAAAAATCAGACCAATCAGAGAGCAGCTGTTTTGTTGACATTTTTTTTCAACATATCAAATTCTGCCTTATTCTGTGTTCAACTCATATTTGCCAAGGCATTGTATATGAATTAGTTACACAAGTTTGTTGGGTATTTTGTAGATTACATGAATACGCAATATATATTTTACTTACAAATGAATTCTGGATACTGTAAAGGGGTTAATTATTCACTGGGTTTTAATTTTGCTTATTACTCTGACTGGAAAATGCGCTAAATTAAAACCCAGTGAATATGTAAAATTTAGCATAGTACACATTATCTAAATGAGGAAACCGTGAATTTAAAACCCACTGAATATGTCTGAAATGGTAAATCAGTGAAATTTAAACCCAGTGAAAATTAGTCATTTTACAGTAATTTGCAAATGCATCCTGGGTATTTTGAAATAATAGACTGTCAATATACTAACTACACACTAATGCATTCTGGGAGCTGTGCAACACAAGTAGATTACTAATTAGTGCATTCTGGGTATTTTGAAATAATTAACTCATAGTGCGTTCTGGTTATACTGCTAATGTGCTAAGTACACACCAATGCATTCTGGGAGCTACGCAATAAATTTAGATTACTTACGAGTGCATTCTGGGTATTTGAAATATGCTGATGCACACATGTCACATTTCTTGCCACTAAAATTTGGTAAACATGGACACTGTCCAGAATCACGACAGCCATCGTGGGCAGAACCAGCGGTATCACAGTCACAGTCTGCATGAAATCAACATGATAGTTTGTTATGGCAACAAATCTTCTAACCAAATATTTTTGAAATCCTGGTTATATTATGTAACTAACCATAAAATCAAACAACATATCACATTATTGTTAAAGTAAATAGAAGTGTTAATTTTCATAATAAAAAATAAAACAGTCTAATGATATAGCTCTGCTGAAATGCATAGTTAGACCACGATTCTTCAACAACATGGTTATAGACAGTTGAAAATAGTTTTTTTTTTTTTTACCAAAATATATTCACTAAAAATTTATCATCATGAAATGAACAAATCTATCATAGCAAAGTTCTTCACTAGGTGGCTCACATACCAAGTGTTATATTATTGAACACTGTAGTACATCCATTTCAGAAAGTACAGGTACCAATACTCCAATTGATACTCACCATAACAATTGGGGTAACTATAGTAACTAACATCACAATTGCTACATCTTGGTCCACCATATTTCTCTTTGCAAATACAGGCACCAGTGTCTTTGTCACATATTTCTTCAGCAGTTCCAAACGCATCACAAGAACAAGCTGGCAAATAAAATAAAAAAATGTCACTTAGCATTGCGCCTTCAAACAGGATTGATTTTGTGAGCAATAAAAGTCAAAAAGGAAACACCCATAAATCTAGTTGCGTCAGCTTGTTCACTGCTGGTCTTCAAGGAAAAAAGAAAATTTATGTCACATAAGGCATAACAAAAAATGTTGTGGCTCTTCAGTTTTTTTGTTTTCACACTGAAGATGTGAACATTATTTTACCAAATCACAAATTACATAACTATATAGAGAAGGAATATGTGAACTCCATATTGGATTTTGCAATGAATTATGGGATATGAAATTGAACTATAGTAGGTGTTTAGGAGGAAAACTCATATCTTTTCCATACAACCCCGTGCTAATATCAACTGTAAATAAACCACTCCTGTTTTCAAGCAATGCATTTTTTAATGTGTGCCAGTTACATGTAATTGGTACGCCATAGCAAATTTTTTTGTGTCATTGGAATGTCATATCGGCTTAGATGGCACACTGGGCACAAAGATATTTTAAAAGTAGATCTCCTGCCTATTTCATTTTAAGATTACTAGAGGATCTTATCCCTTAAACAAACATAACTACAATGTAACTGACCTTAAGGACAAATAATGCTACCTAACTCAGTAGTTTAAAAAAAGCCCACTTAGATTCATCTTCAGTAGATAAGTTCTCAGTATCGACATTTATTTGTGTTCGGTATTTAATAGAGGAACAGGTACCTCACATATTTGCAAAATGGGAATGCAAGTTTAAAGCAAATATACAAAAAAAAAAACTGAAACAACTATATGATTGAAAATCAAATTTTAACATACCTTGGCAAGCAGGGTAGTTATAATAACCATCTTTGCATTCATCACATGCTCGACCGCCGTAGTTAATACGACACTGACATTGACCATCAAGAGGACTACAAACATAATCTCTGGAACCGAGATGATCACAATCACAAGCTGCAAAAGAACAGATTCACTTTGTCAACCGAATTATAGTGAAGCTGTATACAATCTGTAGTTAATGATGTAACAAAGCCAAAGATATGTAATCCAAACATAAAATAATGAGGTGTGTGATGTGTTCAGTGTATGACAAGTCAGTTACAGTAAACAGTTATATCAGAGGAATCAACACAGCTAGGACTCCCCAGCTCGATCAGGAATCAACAGAGGAGTACCTAGCTATATCAGGGATCATCAAAGGACTCCTCAGCTATACCAAGAATCGAAAAGACTCTCCAGCAACAGCAGGAATTGAAAGAAGACTCCCAGCAATACCAGGAATCATCAGAGGACTCCTCAGCTATACCAGGAATCGAAAGAAGACTCCCCAGGAATATCAAGAATGAACAGCGGAGTACCCAGCAATAGCAGTGAACTACATAGCTCAACTATTACTAACTTGACAGATACAAACATAGATTAGAAGTATGAACACATCAAACTAAATAATCTGATTGATACTCACGAAGACATGCAGGAAAGTCGTAATAGCCAACACTGCATCGATCACAATTCAAACCAATGTAATTTGGCTTACAAGGACATTGTCTACCGCCAACTTCACATACACCTCCTTCTGTACCATTACGATGACAATCACAAGCTGCAGTAAAACAATTGTTTTCTTTAATAATTTGAATTTTATCATTGAATAGATGTATGAATATTACAGCAGAGATTTTAAGCCACAATTCTGATAATAACCTGTCAATGTATGGAGTTTTTGTACACGAAATGAAAAAAATACACGAACATAGTCAAGGGCTTTTAATATTAAAGTTTCATGTGAGGGCGCCCTCATTGTTGGTATTAGGCAAATTATTTCTTTTTGTTTTTTTATGCAATATGCATTTTTTTTATGGATTGACACAGATTTATTAAGTTTATAAAATGCAAAATATTATATATGATCAGACACACAATTTGCATTGCCTATTATAACATCATAAATAAATAAAAAAAAACACTTTGGTTTAAAGTTCTCGCTAATATTATTTGTATAATCACTCATGAAAAACATACTTACGTCTGCAAGTAGGGTAACCATAGTAACCAACTGCACATTCATCACAATTCAAACCAGCATATTCAGGTCTACATTCACACTGCCCAGTCTCAGCTGAACACGACCCAGTGGAGTAGAAAAAGTTACAATCACAGGCTGCAAACAAACAAACATCAAAAATAAATGTTATTAAAGACATTAAACCTCGCTTATTATTTGATTGTTTGTTAATTAAAAAGTTTATCAAATGTTTATCTGAATGAACAACAAGACAAAAATGAATTGTTAACTTAATGTACAACAAGAAACAATTGTATTGTTCAATAAGTTTGAAAATTGAATAAAAAAGTCATTGTTTTTTGTTTTGTTTTTTTTATTGTTTTTTTATTTATTTTTTAAAGGTTTTTTTTTTGTGCCAGGCAACAGTTCCGGAAATTGAATGTCACTAGTGTCTCTCCTGACTTTTTTTTGTATGTGCAAATTGCAAGTGCTAGTGCTGACACATTGCCACAGAAGTCATATTCATGTCTGAGACTACATGACAGGGCTGTGTGGCCAACTCTCTGTCAAATGGCAATTTCAATGCGCTACCCTGGCATCAACCAGGCTCAGCCGAACACAGACACCTTCCCTCAAAGTCGCATTTACTAGTGAATGAATCTCGGCCAGTGAACTTGGCTTTCCCCATCGAGTCTGTGGCACACTCACCCAGGGTAGGGGTCGACCCTTTGATGTTCAGCCTAAGCTAGGATTTTAACCTGGGTTTACCGGTCATGAGTCTGATGCGACAACAACTATGCTACCAGTGACCAGTGTCATTGTTTAATAAAAAAAAATATTTGATTGATTGAATAATTTGTTTAGTAAGACCTTGCATTAGAATGACACTGCATACTTACGTTGACATACTTCTGGACTATCAAGAGGCACACCACGTGGACGATAATATCCTGCTTTACACTCTTCACAGTTGATACCTTGTGTATTATGCTACAGACAAAACATCTTGCTATAAAAACTATACTTTTACAATCAAATAATTTGACAAACTATGCGAGAAAGAATCTGTACTTTATTAATTATTTTGCACTTGGTTTGAGGCACTACGCAGTTGTCTGACATTGACTGAGCAGTTTTTATATTGCCAAATACTACATGTAAACAGCAGAATATTACTTGACTGAACAGATACCTACCTAAAAAAAAATTCTAATCTGATCAAAATAATATCTTTGTTTGAGGGTTGGTGGTTTTTTACTTATTTTATTTTATTTGTTTTAAATAAAATTTATTTGTTTAGATTTATTTTACTAATCATTTAAAAATTTAAATTACTTTAAACAAAAATAAATAAATAAACAAATGATTTTTTTTTTGTTTAAAAAAATAAATAGGTAAGTAAATGAACTAAACAACCCCCAGACAATAATTTTATTTTGATGAGATTTTTTAATCTGGATGTTTGTGGAAAGTACTAGTATAGTAGGGTAACCCGGCTAAACCATTGATGCATGTTTACCTGACAACGTTGACAAACTCCACCTCCTTCATAGTTGCCATGGATATCCAGAGATAATTTTTTTTCAGCTATTTCCTCATCATACACACACTCATTACTATGACCATGACAGTTGCAGGCTACACAAACAAAAAGA